TTTCAGAGGAGTTAGCTGTGGTGGCCATCTTGAATTGGAAAATCAGCTGGTTGTAGAAGGACACCCACTACAGGAATTACTTTCTGAAAGTTTCATTAAAAACTGTCTATTGTTTCATAAGATGTAACAGCAAAAAGGGTTGACTCCAAAAGTTGATGCTACAATTTTAAGCAGAACTCCTTTGCATTTTTTAGAGCTCACAGAGTGTGTGTTGGGGATCAGTTTCAGCTACTACCTCACCAAACTTTAGGTCCATTTCTGTAAAACAGACTGACTTATGACCATTTTGTGTTGCTGACAGTGGGTTGGCTGTGGCAACCATTTTGCATTGAATCAGCTTCAAAAGTTAATCACTTCTAGACGTAYATTCAATAATTACTTCCTGAAAGTTTCATTGGAATACGTTCAATGGTCCATGAGGTACTTTGCTAACAGACAGACACATACACACACACTGAGAWATATGGACAAAAACATAATTGGGCTCTTATAGCACTGGACGATATCAAGTCTGTTTATATAAATTGTTAGGAAAAAATGTACACGCACAATATTTGAGAGCAGCCCAGTAAAAGTCAGTGTTTTGTTACACAGCGGGGGTCTCTAAGAGGGGCTGGGCCTGTTGCCCAATCACAAATCATCGAGGGAAAAATAAGGGAGGAGCTGCTGGAGGTTTTGAGTCTTGTGCGTGTTTGCATGTGAGAATCTGGTCTGCATGCATGCCTGAGTCTATATGCCTCTATGTGAGTGTGTGTGTGTGCGTGTGTGTGCGTGGATTCACAGTGCTTCCAAACAGCAGTGTGTGTGTGTGTGTGTGTGTGCGAATGAGAAAAGTCAGCGAGGTCGCTGTGGAATGAGAAACCAGTGCGGTGAGGTAGCTGGCGAGGCCGCAGTCGGACCTAAACACTGACTTCATTGTGGTTTAGCCTCTGCCTTATATTATGTCGGTGGGATTGTGTCRGTGATTGTGGAAGAATTTGTGGCGACAGCGAGTTTAGGAGTCGAAGAGGTGTAAATGTAAAGCTGGAAGGTTGCCGGTTCGAGTCCAGAGAGCAGATGTAAATCACGAGTGCTTCCAACTGCCATCTGTCATTAGGGAGACCGTACAGAGTGGCAACGGGTCCAGGTTTCTGTAGTTGTGTCACAAAACAACACGTGAACCCATGTCTGGCGCCATTTAGGAAGCAAAACTGCAGTTCAGAAAAACAGACGCCGGAAGACAGTTTAGGGGCTCTCTGGGTGAAAGGGTTCAATTAAAAGGAAAGAAAAAGGTTCCTAGTTTTGATCAAATACCCTTTTTTTTACACAAAAAGAAAAAAACTGTATAGGTCTTCTGGACGGGTTCTTCTCTAATGAAACGTTTCGTCTCTTCTCCAAGAGACTTCTTCAGTCTGAGAGTTTCAGGCAAAATTCAGGCCCCTCATCACAACACCTGATGAGGAGCCCCTCTCTGAGCCAGCTCCACCTCCAACACCAGCTCCACTGCCCAGGAGGAGGTCTCACATCCCTGTGAGCGTCCGACGCCTCCAAAGACCGGTTCCTGGACCTGCTGCAGCTGTGGAGCCACGACGGAGGTCCCGCCTTCCTGTGAGCGTCCGACGCCTCCAAAGACCTGTTCCTGGACCTGCTGCAGCTGTGGAGCCACGACGGAGGTCCCGCCTTCCTGTGAGCGTCCGACGCCTCCTCAAAACACCTGGTCAGCTGTAGAAC